CTTCCTCTTAAGGGCTTTTCCTCATCATTATTTAATAGTTTTTTTGGTCAAAATAATATTACCTTTCATCTCTGTCAGTCTTGTTTATGTTTTTTTTTGGCCATGAGGCATGTGGGATCTTAGCTCCCCGACCGGGGATTGGACCTGCACACCCTGCCTTGGAAGGTGAAGTCTTAACCACTGGACCATCAGGGAAGTCCCTGTCAGTCTTGTTTAAAAACTTACTTTTAAAAGTACTTTTTTAAAAAATTGTACTTTCTAAAAACTTAAACAGTACATGAATGCTGGAAGGTGATTTCCCATGTATTTCTCATCAAAACATGAGCTTTGGAACCAGACAGCCCTGAGTTTCCATCTATTGCTCCCTAGATCGTTATCTCAGATGGTTAACCTCTCAAAGCTTTATCTTCCTCTCTTGTAAAACAGAATAAATTCATTCATTCATTAATTCATATATATTGTGTTTTATACTGTGATAGGGACTATGCAAGATGCTGTAGATAGGGAAGATGCAATCCCAACTCTTAAGGATTTTACAGTCTAACAGATCTGAGAATTAGGTATGTCAAAACCTGACATAGTTATAACACACTTTAGATCCCTTTTCTCTCCTTTCTTCCCCTGTGAGAAGTGAGACAGAAATCAAGCTCCCCAACAAGTTAGGTGACAGCCCCAGGTCACAAATTCAGTCAGTGGGAAAGCCAGGAACAAAAGTCTGAGTCTCTCCAGTGCTTACTTCCCTGTCCCTTTCTTGCTTTGGAGGAGACATGAATTTGCACTGAAAACAAAATAGAAGGCAGGCCTGAGCTTGTCATCTAAAGTAAAATAATGGTGCTAATATTTTCTTCCAAGACTAATTTTGTGAATAGTGCATTTTTACCCCCAGTGTGCCATCAGGCGTAAAGTACAATAATAGTTGACAATTCAAACAAAAACAACTATCCTCTTCCTAATGGGGAATTTGAACAGGTGGATGTGAGTTTCATATGTAGCATGTTTACCAGTTGTTGATCAGCATGTTTACCAAGTCTGAGCCCTTGGGTCAATACATTTTGAATAATATATCACACCAAAGACCCCTAAAGGTGAAAATCACAAACCATTTCAGAAAAGCAGTAGCAAATTTTTCCTGCATGAGGTTTCTAAGTAATATATGGCCATAAGAAATTATATTTTTATACTAAAAGTAATCTCACATAGCTTCTTGACTGTTTTAACAAGCCTCTTTTTTTGTGCTGAGGTTCAGTCTGAATGGCAGCTTCCCAGAGAAAAGCAATACATATAGCAGTGGTTCCTACAATGCATTTCAGTGATCATATCGTGGAAAATGCTGTAAATGTACTATACTATTTTAAAAATTAGAATGGTCAAAAGTAGAGTAAAACCACAATAAATAAATGAGCACAGGACATCAAACAGACACTTTACAAAAGGGGCGCTAGAACTATTAAATCTGAAAACACTTTGAATCTCAATAGTGATCAAAGAAATAAAAAGTTCTTTTTTTTTAACCAAATGCTATCAAACTTTGTAAGTGTGGCAATGTGTAGAAAGAGCCATATAATTTTAAAACAAATTTTGTCCCAGTAGTTCTATGTAGGGGAGCTCATCTTAAAGAGGTAACCTGAAAATATCAGCACAGAAGTATTTAGCAGTATTTTATTTCTGGTAATTTAAAATCAGAGCCACCTAAAAGTCTAAAATTAGGGGAATATTTAGAAAAATAAGGATGGGAGTCTACTTGGTATAATATTATGCAGTCAAAAAAAATCAATAAGTAAAGCTTATACAAAAATATGGAAAACTGCTTACGACGTGTTTCATGAAAGCAAATTGAAAAAATGTTTACTAATTATAAATGTGTAAAGGTTGTATGTGCAAAAGACTAGTATATAAATTATGTTATATTAATGGGGTGATATTATGGGCACTCTTACAATTCTGTTTTCTAGATGTCCTATAATATAGTTATATTAACTTGATAACTTAAATGATCTATTTGAAAGAGAAAAATATGGTTAAAGCTGAATTTTAAGGAAATCATTTTCTCTTCTTTGACTTTTAAGTAGTCCACACTGCTTTTATATAAGATGTGTATAAAAAATAAACAAGGGACCATTTAGAAAAGGTATTAGACTTAATCTTTAATGGGTTTATGACTGTACCAATGAAGGTACAATTCTCAGTTAAAATATATTTGGTTTTCCTCTTGATTATCAATTTTTTTTAAGCCACATTAGGAACTTTACTATGTCTTCTACAAGCTCGGTGACCACCAACATATGAGTCAGCAGGACATGATAATCCACAATTGGCTAAGATCAGGCAGCGAAGCACAGTGGGCCACACAGTTTAGTTGGTAGTCATAACTACAAACAACTCTTACAGTCTCACCAAAGGAATTCAAGGAACTCACCAAAGAAATTCCCTATGGTTCTCAGGGAATGAGATGAAGTGCTACTGCGAACAAGGGCCTGGAAAAAGCCTCACAGTGCAGTTAGTCCTGGGAACTACTGTTTTATTACATGCTATCTTATTGTACAAGAAATATGAACACATGGTTAAAAATTTTTTTTAAGTACAGAAATGTAAAAATTACAAGTACCCTTTTCAATCCCTGTGTCCATCCCACTCTTTCAAATTAGTCACCGTTAACACTTTGCTATGTGGACTTCTAGTCATTTTAAAAATATAAATAAATACATATCCAATTAATTATATTGGTATGTATATGTATATATCCTTTTTTTAATAAATTAATTAGATCATGCTAAACTAACCAAATACTACTTGCTTTTCTTTCTTTTTTTTTTTTTTTGCGGTATGCGGGCCTCTCACTGTTGTGGCTTCTCCCGTTGTGGAGCACAGGCTCTGGACGTGCAGGCTCAGCGGCCATGGCTCACAGGCCCAGCTGCTCCGCGGCACGTGGGATCCTCCTGGACTGGGGCACGAACCCACGTCCCCTGCATCGGCAGGCGGACTCTCAACCACTGTGCCACCAGGGAAGCCCTTGCTTTTCTTATTTAATAATATATTCTGAATATCTTTCCCTGTTACTACATATATTTTTTCTACTGTTATTTGTTTATTTTTAATAGCTGTGTATTATTCCATTTTATCACAATTTTCAGTTAATATTCCTGTACATATCCTTTTCTTCCTAGGATAAATTCCTACAAGTGGAATTGCTAGGGGAAAGGGATGCTTATTTTCACGTTTTGATAGATATTTCCAAATTGCCATCCAAAAATATCGTATGAATTTACACTCTCAGAGTTGTATATGAGACAGAAATGTTGACTTTAAATTCATTTCCTCCAGTATATCACAGAAGTCTTTGGGTTATTAAAATAAGGATTATACTTTTAATACTCTCCTAGAGTGCTTTATAACCCACATTTCACATACCGCCTTCTGTGAAAGCTATACATTTATTTTCTCTCTCCTGCTAGAGTCCCTTGAGGGATATTTATCCTATACATTATTGTGTCCCTTAAGAGAGCGTGCATAAAGTCAGTACTCAATAAATATTTTGTTGAATGTCACTTACTAAATATATTTTACCCTGGTTAGGACATAGATTATAGCCAAAACTATCCAAGTATTAGTCATCAGTGATTCATAATTATGCAACCAAGAAGTAGGCCTAAACTTTAGACATTCCTTGGTGGTTTAGTGTCAAAGCTTGCTTCCCTTGGGCACAGTTAAAAGGGTAGTTGGTTATTTAACTGTACTGATTTTCTTGTTTCAGTGGAACTTCTTTGACTTTTTTATTGCTAGTGTGGACTGTACTTTTCAGGGAGAATAAAACACTTACTGTTATACAATTTAAAAGAAATCACCTTCTGCAGAATGGATTCTTAAGATATAGAATTATTTTTCCTCTCACAGTGAGATCTAAAAAGTATCTTAGATCCATGTGGGTTTGCATAGCTGCCTTTTGAAATGTTTTCCTAAATGACTGTAATTTTATATTTTTCTTATCTACAGGATTCTTCTTACTTCATTTTCAAAAGGACTTTGCTTTTCATGTATTCTGAGAAACTTGGCTCCATTACTCTGGAGACACTCCTAGGCTTACTTGGTCTATTAGGGTAATGCTAGCTGCTGTAAAAAAAAAACTTCAAAATTTCAGTGGCTTAATATGGCAGAACTTGGGCTTCCCTGGTGGCGCAGTGGTTGAGAGTCCACCTGCCGATGCAGGGGACACGGGTTCGTGCCCCAGTCTGGGAAGATCCCACATGCCACCGAGCGGCTGGGCCCGTGAGCCATAGCTGCTGAGCCTGCGCGTCCGGAGCCCGTGCTCCGCAACGGGAGAGGCCACAACAGTGAGAGGCCCGTGTACCGCAAAAAAAAAAAAAAAAATGGTAGAAGCTTATTTCTCTTTCACAAGTAGTCCAAGGTGGGGACTCTTTGGTTGGTGGGTGGCTTTTCTCCATGTAGTGATTCAGGGATCCAGGCTCTTCCATCTAATGGCTGTGCCATTCCAGAGTCTTCCAAGCAGACAGGGATAGAGGATGAAGAAGGCATACCACTACTTAACTGTGTCAGCCTAGAAGAGATACACATCACTTCTAGTCACATTCCATTGTTAAGACCTAGTTTTGGTCCTATCAAAGGACCAAAGGAGGAGAGAAATGTAGGCCTTGGCTTGGCAACTACCACCCAGAAAGAATTCCACAATATGGAAGGAGGAGCACATATTTTTTCATGTATAGTTAGCTGATTCTCACAACAACCTGTGAGGTAGGCAGAACAGGTTTCAATTTTGTAGATTAGGAAAGGTACTGAAAAGTTGAAATCCCACAGCTAGTTAGCAGTATAAATGCAATTTAGAAGCCAGATCATCTGACTCCCATTCAGTTTATCTTTCCTTAGTATTAAATAGTGATCCTATTCTGGCTTAAAGTATAACCCTCTTGGTGATTCATTACTTTAAATTGCATGCTATGATCTCTCTCTTTTTTTTCTAAACTCCTCTTTCCCCTAAGGACCTGACAATGTCCCTGTATTGTGGAATTACTTGCAGGAGAAAATCTTTTTGGTGCTATAGGCTGCTGTCAACCTATGTCACTAAGACATGGTGAGTTTTGACCAAACTGAGCTCTGATTATTATATCTTTGGTCCATTAAATTATAAAATATAAATATCTCAAATCCTATATTGGGGATTACGGATATATGATTAAGATTTACGTATAAAGATGTTCAATGCAAATTATTTATAATTAGAGAATTTCTAAACAATTAAATTTCCAATATCTAAAATGTCTGACATACTTAAATATAAGTTCTTTTTTTAAGATAAGAACTTTGGGGACTTCCCTGGCGGGTGGTTAAGACTTCGCCTTCCAATGCAGGGCGTGTGAGTTAGATCCCTGGCTGGGGAGCTAAGATCTCACATGCCTTGGGGCCAAAAAGCCAAAACATAAAAAAAAACAGAAGCAATACTGTAACAAATTCAATGAAGACTTAAAAAAAAAAAAGATAAGAACTTTGTCTTTTCCCCTATGGTACCCCTAGTGCATAAAACCCTAGTACCTGGCACATAGTAGGCACTGAAATATTGTTGAATGGATGAATGAACAGTAAGGGAAAAATTAATTAAATCATGATATACCCATATGACAGAATTAAAAACTATACTGAATAATAGTTCATCAAGGTTCCTGAAAATAAGGTAGATAACTCAAGTCCCTGCATACCACCTGCATACCTCCCCTATCCCCCCGCAACTCCCTCCCGCAAGAACTAAACCACAGTGAAAGGCAGACTAGAAAAAAAAAATCTACACCAGTACAGGAAGGTGATAAAGGACTTCTTTGTCCCCAGCCCGGGCAAATATAAAATCTGTGAATTTGAAATCAGTAGCCTGCTCTCATTCAGTTTTGGGGTTTAAATTTGCACCATCTATGTGGTGTGGTCCAAAACCCCCAAACTAAGAAAAGACTTTAAGTAGTATTTGTAGATTTGCAGATGTAAAACCCCTCTGGAGGGATACAATCACAACCAGGGCTTCCCACACTGAAAGCTCTGCCATACATGAGTGCCCAGTTCAATATTTAAAGGCACATAAACGTACACAATCTTACATGAGCAAGAGTGAGAAGACAACAAAATTGCAATACTTGTTTTAGATATTGTTGGACATTTGGGTTATTTACAGTTCTCAGGCTGAGACTCTAAGAAGAATAATAGGATTACTGAAGTCTAAAAAATGAGTGTTAAAGTGATTACAGGGCTTCCCTGGTGGCGCAGTGGTTGAGAGTCCGCCTGCCGATGCAGGGGACACGGGTTCGTGCCCTGGTCTGGGAAGATCTCACATGCCGCGGAGCGGCTGGGCCCGTGAGCCATGGTCGCTGGGGCTGCGTGTCCGGAGCCTGTGCTCTGCAACAGGAGAGGCCACAACAGTGAGAGGCCCGCGTATCGCAAAAAAGAAAAAAAAAAAAAAGTGATTACATGTATTGAAAATGAATTAAAAATCATAAGGAAACTAAAATTCTATCAGTAAAGAATATGGTGTGAAAAATGTTAATATGCTTACCAAAAAAGGCTACAAAGTAGTAGATCAGTTCTAAAAGTACTTATTGCATATGTATAGATGCATAATATTAATAGTTTGGAGAATTCCAAGGTATAAACAATGATCATCTCTGAGTGGTGGGATTCTTTTTTTAAAATAATTAATTAATTAATTAATTAGGCTATGTTGGGTCTTTGTTGCTGCGCGCGGGCTTCTCATTGCGGTGGCTTCTCTTGTTGCGGAGCACGGGCTCTAGGCACACAGGCTTCAGTAGTTGTGGCACATGGGTTCAGAAGTTGTGGCTCATGGGCTCTAGAACGTAGGCTCAGTAGTTGTGGCACATGGGCTTAGTTGCTCTGTGGCATGTGGGATCTTCCCAGACCAGGGCTCGAACCCATGTCCCCTGCATTGGCAGGCAGATTCTCAACCACTGAGCCATAGGGAAGTCCCTTTTTTCTTATTATAAAAGTTAAAAAATAGTCATTCTATAGAAATCAGAAAATACAGTTACCAATTTTTTTAAAAAATGGAAATCATCCAGAATCCCACCACTCGGGGACTTCCTTGGTGATGCAGTGGTTAAGAATCCGCCTGCAAATGCAGGGAACACGGGTTCGAGCCCTGGTCCGGGAAGATCCCACATGCCATGGAGCAACTAAGCCCATGAGCCACAACTACTGAAGCCTGTGCACCTAGAGCCCCTGCTGCACAAAAGAAGCCACCGCAATGAGAAGCCCACACACCGCAACAAAGAGTAGCCCCTGCTCGCTACAACTAGAGAAAGCCCACGCGCAGCAACGAAGACCCAACGCAGCCATAAATAAATAAATAAATAAATTTATTTTTAAAAAACCCTGCTCCTATGTTATGGGGGTATAAACTAATAAGAAATAAACAGTTTAAGTTTGATAATTTTAGTGTGTTATGGTTTCCAAACTATTATACTTAAAGGTGAAAAATGCATTTGTAAGTTATTTATTTATTATTGAGGTATAGTTGATTTACAATATTATATTAGTTTCAGGTGATTAACAACGATTCAAAATTTTTATAGATTATATTCCATTAAAAGTTATTATAGAGTCTCTGGGAGGGCTCACGCCAAGGAGTACTTCCCAGAACTTCTGCTGCCAGTGTCCTTGTCCTCACTGTGAGCCACAGCCACCCCCCACCTCTGCAGGAGATCCTCCAACACAAGCAGAGCCTTGGACCCTGAACCTTCAGAGACATTTCTGGTGCCCCTCATTGTCCTATGTTTTTAAAATGAAGAAGTTTAATTTCTGAAAAGTTTTGGATGGCTTAACTGCCTCCTCCCCTGGCAGTAGTAGCAGCAGTGGCAGTAACAGTGGTGGCGGGGCTGGAAGTGGTTCCATGCATCCAGGAGGGACTGCAGGGGTGCTCAGAGAGGAGATTCAGGAAACCTTGACTTCAGACTATTTCCAGATTTGTAAGCTTGTGCAAGTGAAAGCATGCAAGTGAAAGCTTGGAGTCCTAACCACTGGACCACCAGGGAAGTCCCACAATTGATAGTTCTGTTGTTAGTAGTAATACTAGTATTGTAGCTTTGAAACTATTTTATGCATAATATACATTATATACGTATATGTTATGTATATGCATAAGCAAATACGCAATCATGTTAATGTCATTAAAACCAAGATTTTCAGTGTGAAAGCAAAGGGATATGAATATTATAATTGATGATTTAATTGTTCACTTAAATTGGAAATATCCATATGAATGCATGATTTAGTTTTCTTTCTGAAATTCACATATTTCCTAGCTTTATTTACTGAGAGGGCATAGAAATATGACAGTCTGGGTAGAAGTGAGCATCCCCAGTGCTGATCATAGTCTCTAAAAGCCATTTCTCAACAAAAGGAAGAAGAGTTCCTTGAAAAAAATGGCTGATTCTACATCTGGGGCAGGAAATGTACCAGATGAGCTTGATACCTCTTGCTATGCCAGAAAGCAGGAATGCTTTCAATACCACTGGGATTGTGTGGATACAGGGGCCAACTTCAGGGAGTTCACATTGGCCAAATTTGGGACAATTTGAGCCTTGAATACTGCAATGTATAAAGCATAACATATACAGGCATACCTCATTTTATTGTGTTTTGCTTAATTGCACTTTGCAGATACTGTGCTTTTTACAAATTGAAAGTTTGTGGCAACCCTGCATCAAGTAATTCTCTTGGAACAATTTTTCCAACAGCATTTGCTCATTCCATGTCTCTGTGTCATGTTTAGGTAATTCTCACAATAATTCAAACTTTTTCATTATAATTATATTTGTTGTGATCTGTGATCCGTGATCTTTGATGTTACTATTGTAATTGTTTTGGGGCACCACGAACCTGTGCCCATTTTTTTTTTTTAACGTCTTTACTGGAGTATGATTGCTTAATGGTGTGTTGGTTTCTGCTGTGTGGCAGGGTGAATCAGCTGTACATATACATGTCTCCCCGTGTCTCTTCCTTCTTGTGTCTCCCTCCCTCCCACCCTCCCTATCCCATCCCTCTAGGTGGTCACAAAGCACAGAGCTGATCTCCCTGTGCTATGCGGCTGCTTCCCACTAGCTATCTATTTTACGTTTGGTAGTGTATATATGTCCATGCCACTCTCTCACTTTGTCCCAGCTTACCCTTCCCCCTCCCCGTGTCCATTCTCTAGTAGGTCTGTGTCTTTGTTTCTGTCCTGCCCCCTAGATTCTTCATGACCTTTTTTTTTTAGATTCAATATATATGTATTGGCATGCGGTGTTTGTTTTTCTCTTTCTGACTTGCTTCGGTGTGTGGCAGACTCTGGGTCCATCCACCTCACTGCAGGTGGCTCAATTTCGTTTCTTTTTATGGCTGGGTAGTGTTCCATTGTATGTATGTGCCACATCTTTTTTATCCATTCATCTGTCGATGGACACTTGGGTTGCTTCCACGTCCTGGCTATTGTGGATGAAGCTGCAAGGAAAATTGTGGTACATGACTCTTTTTGAATTATGATTTTTCTCAGGATATATGTCCAGTGGTGGGATTGCTGGGTCGTATGCTAGTTCTATTTTTAGTTTTTTGAGGAGCCTCCATGCTGTTCTCCATGGTGGCTGTATCAATTTACATTCCCACCAATGGTGCAGGACGGTTCCCTTTTCTCCACACTCTCTCCAGCATTTGTTGTTTGTAGATTTTTTGATGATGGCCATTCTGACAGGTGTGAGGTGATGCCTCATTGTGGTTTTTATTTGCATTTCTCTAATTGATGATGCTGAGTATTCTTTCATGTGTTTGTTTTGCCTGGTCTCTTAAAATCACTTCCTAACTGATTTTGTCACCTCTTGTTTTACCCTATTCCAATTCATTTTGTTATAATAATGGTTATTTCTGAATTATAATGTAATTATGCCATTTTTCCTGCTAAAAATTCTATGTTGGTTTCCCTAGAGCAGTGGTGATCTAGAAACAAAAGTCTTATGTAAAATCCCAACAAAGTAACACCTATTAAAACAAATAAATATGGCACTTTATTGGTGTACATTAAAAAAAAGTTATTATAAAATATTGGCTATATTCCCTGAGCTGTACAATATATCCTTCTAGCTTATTTTTTATTGAAGTACAGTTGATTTATAATGTTTCAGATGTACAGCAAGAAAATGCATTTCTAAAAAAAGTGTTCCAGTCAAGAAAAATGCAAGGAACTTTTTGGATCTCAGTCCCAGTTCCAGTGAGGCCCCAGGTTTAAGACCTTAACCTGGATGCTTTTGTAGATGTTTTGCTTTTTAGGATCTTTAGGGCAAAGGACAGGTTGTATCACTCCTACTGTTCTTTTACAAAGTTAGCATTTTGTTCTATTGTTTATATTTGGTAACTTCTGAGTGGCACATAGCTCTCCTTTGACATACATTAAGACTTTGTCCCAGGAGGTTGCAGTCACTCACAATAAGTATAAAAATATCATGAGTATTCAAATCTCAGAAAACTGTTTCTTTTTTCTTCTGTTTACAAAGCGCTCACTGCAATCGCTTTTATCATACAGTCAAAAATAGGTTCCTATAGATGCCACTGGGGCATGTTTATCATTTTACTTTGTAGTTTCATGTGCAGCTAACTCTACCGGTGTTACAAAAGCTCCCAGATCCTATAGAAAATATCTGTAAACTGTGTTTCCTACTTAAGTGACAAAATATGCCATATACCTGAGAGTCTGTTGTAGGGCTTTCAGCAGTCAAAATCATTATCCCTGGGAGTTCCCTGGTTGCCTAGTGGTTAGGACCATAGGCTTTCACTGCTGGAGCTTGGGTTCAGTCGCTGGTCGGGTAACTGAGATCCTGCAGGCTGCGCAGCAAGGTCAAAAAAAATCATTATCCCTAAGGCTGCAGAAGGAGAATCCACATTCAGTCCTCCCTGAATCACGCAGTTCCTGCCCTGATTCCCAAGTCTCTTGAAAGGATAGACTTAGGCCGTCCTTAATGAAGGTACAGAACTTGCTCCATTACTTTTCTTTTTAGAGAAACTAATTACAGAATGTTCTCTTTTTCTACATTTTAATTTTGGCTATTGAAAATATTACACTTTGGGGCTTCCCTCGTGGCGCAGTGGTTGGGAGTCTGCCTGCCGATGCAGGGGACACGGATTCGTGCCCCAGTCCGGGAGGATCCCACATGCCACGGAGCAGCTGGGCCCGTGAGCCATGGCTGCTGAGCCTGCGCGTCCGGAGCCTGTGCTCAGCAGCGGGAGAGGGCACAACGGCGAGAGGCCCGCGTAACACACACACACAAAAAAGAAATTATTACACTTATTAAATAAGTGTAGGTCAAATATGGCTTCACTTTCATCAATGATCCCTTCAGTAGAGATAAGAAGCTAACGGCATCCACTTGGGAGAGTAGATGTTTGAAACAAGAGTGCATTGAAGATAAAAGTTGCTCTTTATCACCCCTAGATTGAATAAGGGTTTCTGAAGGTATACTGTTTGTTCCTTGTCTGCAGTAATAAAGTCTGCTCCCATCTCTAGGTGCTCTGTGGTTGATGTTTTATCACTGAACTTGTTTTCCTTTCACTCCACTGCATGTAAATTCTTGCCTCACAGCATAATATTGGCAAAGTACCTTGAGGTTCAATTCAGTAAATATTTATTACCCTTGAAGTTCAATTCAATAAATACTTATTGAATTGAGCCATTCAATATGCTAATTACCCATGATACAGAACTAAGGCAGACCCTGCCCTTAAGAAGATCATAGTCATTTTTGATAAAGGAGGTAAGAATACACAATGGAGAAAAGTCAGCCTCTTCAATAAGTGGTGCTGGGAAAACTGGACAGCTACATGTAAAAGAATGAAATTAGAACACTCCCTAACACCATACCCAAAAATAAGCTCAAAATAGATTAAAGACCTAAATGTAAGGCCAGACACTATAAAACTCTTAGAGGAAAACATAGGCAGAACACTCTATGACATTAATCACAGCAAGATCCTTTTTGACCCAACTCCTACAGAAATGTAAATAAAACCAAAAATAAACAAATGGGACCTAATGAAACTTAAAAGCTTTTGCACAGCAAAGGAAACCATAAACAAGACCAAAAGACAACCCTCAGAATGGGGGAAAATATTTGCAAATGAAGCAACTGACAAAGGATTAATCTCCAAAATTTACAAGCAGCTCATGCAGCTCAATAACAAAAAAACATACAACCCAATCCAAAAATGGGCAGAAGACCTAAATAGACATTTCTCCAAAGAAGATATACAGACTGCCAACAAACACATGAAAGAATGCTCAACATCACTAATCATTAGAGAAATGCAAATCAAAACCACAATGAGGTATCATCTCACACCAGTCAGAATGGCCATCATCAAAAAAATCTACAAACGATAAATGCTGGAGAGGGTGTGGAGAAAAGGGAACATTCTTGCACTGCTGGTGGGAATGTGAATTGATACAGCTACTATGGAGAACAGTATGGAGGTTCCTTAAAAAACTACAAATAGAACTACCATATGACCCAGCAATCCCACTACTGGGCATATACCCTGAGAAAACCATAATTCAAAAAGAGTCATGTACCAGAATGTTTACTGCAGCTCTATTTACAATAGCCAGGACATGGAAGCAACCTAAGTGTCCATCATCGGATGAATGGATAAAGAAGATGTGGCACATATATACAATGGAATATTACTCAGCCATAAAAAGAAACGAATTTGAGTTATTTGTAGTGAGGTGGATGGACCGCGAGTCTGTCATACAGAGTGAGGTAAGTCAGAAAAACAAATATCGTACGCTAACACATATATATGGAATCTAAGGAAAGAAAAAAAACGGTCATGAAGAACCTAGCGGTAAGATGGAAAAGACACAGACCTACTAGAGCATGGACTTGAGGATATGGGGAGGGGGAAGAGTAAGCTGTGAGAAAGTGGGAGAGTGGCATGGACATATATACACTACCAAATGTAAAATAGATAGCTAGTGGGAAGCAGCTGCATAGCACAGGGAGATCAGCTCGGTGCTCTGTGACCACCTAGAGGGGTGGGATAGGGAGGCTGGGATGGAGGGCGATGCAAGAGGGAAGAGATATGGGGATATATGTATAGCTGATTCACTTTGTTATAAAGCAGAAACTAACACACCATTGTAAAGCAAGTATACTCCAATAAAGATGTTAAAAAAAAAAAAAGATCATAGTCTTTCAGGGGAGACACAGATTAACAAATAGCACCATGTAAGTGCAACCACAGAAGTATGGGCAAGGTATACAGTAGGACAAAGGAGGGAATGACCCCCTGTAGCCACCTCAAATCCTTTTTTGAAGAAATTTAGGATGTAAATAAATAAAAGGAATAACCATGGTAGGAGACCAGTGCAGGAACAGAATTCTCAGATGAATGCTGTAAAAGAAACTAAGTGTGGTTTTGTAATGCTTTGATTATTTCCAAAACACAGGTATTTATCTGAGCTGAAGGAAGATGATGATGCATGTAAAAAAGCCCAGCAGACAGGAGCATTTTACCTCTTTCATAACCTGGCTCCTTTGGTTCAGAAATCAGAACATCAATACCTGGACCCGCCAGCATAGCCTATTAGGTAAGCCCAGAGTAGACTAGTAAAGTAGACCAGGCTGTGGCCGCTAAGCAGAACTCGGTCCATATCAAATCCCTGAGAAGAATCCTCCGAGTTTAGAGTCCAGATTTTTCAAACTTCTTCTGCCAATTAATTATTTAACGTATAAACCTGAATTGCCCAATCGAATATTTTTTGGTGATGGTTTGAACCACTATAGCCTTAAACCAAGGGTCAGGAAAACTGCTGTCCAAATTGGAACCGATGTCTGTTTTGTAAATACATTTTTAATGGAACACAGCCTCACTCATTCATTTACATATTGTTTATGACTGCTTTTGCACTACAATGGTGAAACAGAGTATTGTGACAGAGACCGTATGGCTCACAGAACTTGAAATATTTTGCCAACCCCTGCCTTGGACCAGCAATTTCCAGCCTCCAAGGAGCTGTTCACTGTTACACTGTTTTAAGATTTGCATCATGACTTAATTTCTCCTTAGAAGGGTCAAAACTAAACGTGAACTAAAATTGTTTTGAGAACTCTTTTAAGGTATATAACTAGAGATATCTAAGCCATTGGGATTTGGCATTCAAGCTGCTACCTTGAGTTTTATATGATGTCACTACGCACAAACTTCTAAATACATTGCCAGGGTCAGATGTTGGAATACTTAGATAGGTAGTTTCTAGCAGTGCATAAGTATATGAGGATGTTTATCAGAAGGCACTAAACATTATTTATAGATTAGCAATATAATCTTGTATTATGAACAAATAAATATGAGCCCTTCATGCACAGGAGAATAGATTTTCTCCCTATACAGCACTTGTCTTTACAGACCAGGGTCTCAGATGAGTAGTCTACCCTGGCCCACAAAAGCAGCATGATCTGAAGAGTAAATTATAGAACTGCTTTGGTCTCTCTACCATTTTAAGTTTGACACTTATTTTTTTTTCCAGTGCTTTAATAAGTCAACTATCATGTATCTTTAAAACTAGGGGATATGCTCCTTTCATGATACAATCATAGAGTAATACAGTGTTACACAGAAAGAATTCCTTTAAACTTCAGATTGCTGATGAGAAAACGGAGGCCTTGAGAGGTTAAGTGATTAGGCCAAGATTACATAGCTAATTAGCTGCAGGGCAGTGACTAGACGCCAGCTGTACCTACTTCAAGTTGAAGTAGATGGTTTCCAATAAGTCTAGTATGGCTCTGATGGTTTAATTAAAACCCTTGTTTTCTTCCCTTCTCATTCTGTGTTTCTTAGAGTTGGAAGGGCTCCTGGGTAAGTTTGGGCAGGACATGCAAACAATAGAAGATTCCGTGCTAACTGGATGCTCCGAACAGCAAGAAGCCTAGTTTGCTCTGGATCTAGGTCTAAATAGCTCCTCTTCCATAAATGGTACATAACATTATTCCTGATGGGTACTTCCCAGTGGTTCTTAGACTTTGGGATTCCACATAATAGTAAAATTTCAAAGAACATTTTAAGAATACAAAACAATTTCAATTTTTCTTAAGTTAGGACCTTAAAAGATAGTACCATCTACCATCATCATCACTTAAAGGACATTTTAATGCTTTCTTTCTCAGCTAGGTGGTGGTACAAAGATGTTTACTGTATTATTCTCTGTACCTTTATACATTTTATATGTCTTAAATATTTCATAAGAAATGTTTTAAAATTCATGACATTATTCTTACTTCTCTTATCAATGCAGGTGAATAAACATGTTACCTTGGAGTAGCTCTGGGTCTTCAGACCTGCATTTGGGAACTGGTTTGCTAGAGGCTCATGGCTCCTGTCAGGCTTTCCTTCTCTCTTTCACGGTGTAGCTGTAAATGTAATGATGCTGGAATGAGGTTCAGATAGGAGCTTAGAGGTCCCCTTTCATCTTTTTATCCAGGGATAGTGTGTGGCTAGTGCAAATGTTCTTATTGCCCCGAAGAGGATCTTGGGAAACACTATGCTCTAATGTTTCCCAAATTTGCCTGAATATAAGAATCTCCTGGTGCTTGTTAAAAAATAAAGATTTCTGGGCCTCACTCACCTGCTATTCATAATCTCCAGGCAGGCGTTTGAGAACCTGTATATTTTTTTATTCTCCCTAGTTGAGTCATATTAGGTGAGTTTGGGAAACACTGTTCTAACAGAATATACTTGAGAGGGTCCCTGAGGTAAAGCTTGACATTCATTTCATTTTGTTCTCTTTTCTAATTTTTTAACTTCCTTACAGAAACCTGAAATGGAGACAGAGCTCAAGGGGTCTTTCACTGTGCTGAGGAAGGCTCTCTTTCAGCTGAATGTGAAGGATGCCTCCTTGCTATCCACTGTAGATTGATTTCTTGGTTCTGTAGGAAATTAAATAAAGTAGTGTATACGGAAAACATTTGATTTTTTTTTTTTTTCACACCATAGTCCTTCCTACAAACCTTGGCAGAAGGACAATGTGCTGTAGGGAGATTGCTTATTCTTCTTTCTTTTACCCTGTTTTTGGCAGGACCGTTGTTAGTACCATTGTCTTCTGAGGGTGTGCAGATATATGGCAATATGATCTATCAGCCTTATAAACATTTTTAATGACCCACAGCATGACATATACATCATGAGAAGTTATTTTATATTGCTTTAACGACTTGTCCTCCAGCTTTAGATTTCACTTGCTAAAGTGCTTTTGATTGCCCATTTAAAGAGGTATCTCTAAACATTTTTAAAATTATTTATTTATTTTTGGCTGTGCTGGGTCTTAGTTGCGGCACACAGAATCTTCGTTGTGGCATGCAGACTTCTTTAGTTGCAAAATGCAGATTCTTAGTTGCAGTATCTAGTTCCCTGACCAGGGATGGAACCCAGGCCCCCTGCATTGGGAGCGTGGAGTCTTACCCACTGGGCCACCAGGGAAGTCCCTAAACATTTTTTATTTGCAAAAAAATTCCAACTTTATTGGGAAGGAGTACATGTTGAGGTGTTTAATTATACTGAAAATGTTTTCTTTTTAAGCTGGCTCATAAGTTCACAGGTGTTCATTATGATATTTTATATATCATATTTTTAAAATAATTAATAATATATTTAAAATATGCTTTTTAAAAATTCATACTTCAGAGAATTCCCTGGCGATCCAGTGGTTAGGAGTTGGGCTTTCACTGTTGTGGGCCTGGTCAATCCCTGGTCGGGGAACTAAGATTCCGCAAGCCACGCGGCACAGCCCCCCAAAATAAAATAAAATAAAATTCATACTTCAGATGCTAGAGGACTATGTTCAAATAGTTTCCTTATTTTAAAGTTTAAATAGTTAATACGCATTTAAAGTAGGTGAGCTGAAAAGGGATTGGTGTGTCCCTTTGAGTTGCTCTAAGTAGTAGCCCCAGCACCATTATAGATGAGCCCCACATTCTCTCCAAATGAAACCAAGCCCATCTTTGTATTCCTAGGCTCAGCCTCTTCTCCGTTGGCATGATGCTCATCAGTTCTGCAGCAGAAGTGGACAGCCCACCAAGAAGAATGCGGCTGGCAGCAAGCGTGTATGCCCTCCCAATAAGATCATCTATTATCCACAGGTAAGCATCGCTTTAAAAGGTCAGTAATCCAAGAAGGCTGTGCACTACTTTGTCTTGTGGATGGAAGCCTGTACAGCTAAAAGGCTTTCCTTAGTTACCCATTACTTTGTTTCATTAACAGGCCCCAAAGCCCTAGTGCCCAAGTTTCCATCCCCTTTTCCTAGATGACTCCTGTGGTGATCACTCTGGTGTCAGATGGGACTCGATGCCTGCTTGCCCGCCAGAGTTCCTTTCCCAAGGGAATGTATTCTGCCTTGGCAGGTTTTTGTGATAATAGGTAAGGAATTTCGGGCATATACAGATAACACTGAAAGACATGAAGTCTTATAGTATGAAATAGTATGTATTTCTTACTCTTGTTGCCATAGTGCTTGGTGTCTCAAGCACATTCTTCCCTATTACATCAAGAAAACTTCTTTGTGGCATCAATTTTCCAATATTTTATAGGCAAATTTTCAAACATAAGCATAGCTGGAAGATTTATACAGTAAACACCCATATACTCACCACCTAAATTCCATAATTACTATGTTTACTTTATCACATATCTGTCTATCCATTCCTCTATCCACCCATTAATCCATCTTATTTTTTGATGCATAGATTGCAGACATTAGTACACTTCCTCCTAAATATTTCAACATGCATATTAATATTATATTAACTAGAATTTAATATTTATTTACAGGTGTTTTTTTTTGTCAGTCTATTGGGGTAAAATTTGCAAATGGTGAAATGTGGCATTTGAACTTTATTAAAAACCTGAGGGCAGCAGTAGCCTCTCTGACTCTTATTTTGTGTAACTAACCTAGTAGGTTCAAGTATTGTGGTTCAATACCCAACTTCAGACTTGATTCCTAGTGTAGAGACTCAGAGATTTAGGGCTCCCCCAAGAGTATTTCATTGACTTGGGAGCCAGTTTTGCACTGCTTTCATCAACGGGCTTCTGTATCACCCTTCCTGCTGCAGGGCTGTCCTGAATTAATCTGTGTGCTTATAGGTGAAAGTCTGGAAGAGGCTGTCCGGCGAGAAGCTGCAGAAGAGGTGGGATGGGAGGTGGGAAGACTGCAATACTCTGCATCTCAGCACTGGCTCTTTCCTAATGGCACACTCATGATTGCTTGTCATGCAACTGTGAAACCAGGGCAGACAGAGGTGAGTTCTGATGCTTCCCTTATGATATATCCTTTGCCTCATCCAAGCTGGTCTGTAGGTACTTACTAAGCACCTGTCTAGTCCAGCATTGTTTAGATTATACAAAGACATGTAATATATGATTTATACCTTTAAGGAATTTGCAATCTTATAAACAACTGATCACCATAAAAATTGGGAGTGCCAACACAATCACCATTCTTCCTTGTATATATCTCAATCATGAAACAATTTATCTTGCATCATCAGGAAATTAACAGTCTTGCATAGAATAGGCACACAATAAATAGATAAAATTTAATGATTGATTTCAGAATTGGTATTATTGCTCCAGTCAGGATGTTGGGGACTAATAATATAAAATCATAGGAACTGGGGCTTCCCTGGTGGCGCAGTGGTTGAGAATCTGCCTGCCAATGCAGACGACACAGGTTCGAGCCCTGGTCTGGGAAGGTCCCGCATGCCATGGAGCAACTGGGCCCGTGAGCCACAATTACTGAGCCTGCGCGTCTGGAGCCTGTGCTCCGCAACAACAGAGGCCGCGATAGTGAGAGGCCTGCGCACCGCGATGAAGAGTGACCCCCACTTGCCACAACTAGAGAAAGCCCATGCACAGAAATGAAGACCCAACACAGCCATAAATAAATAAATAAATAAATAAATACATTGTGTAAAAAATTTAAAAAAAAAAAAAAAATCATAGGAACTTCTGATTGAAAGGGACTTAGATGTTGTCTTATCCCACCTCACCTTGCTCTAACATCCCTGACAGATGCTGTTGTGGTCCCTATGTGCCAAAGTCTATTTTGTGCTTTGGTTTCTATACAATGAATATCTAATCTGTCTCAGCTCCCTGTGGATGCAGTTTGCATTTTTGCTTCTTGCAAGGCAGATACTATGCTTTTGACTATCATTAATTAACACATCCTTTAAAGAAGAGTAACATTTATATGTTCTTTTTTTAGTTATATAATTTTACCTCTCAATGTTAACCACTCTTTTTTTTTTTTTTTTTTTTTTTTGGCCATGCCGCATGGCTTTCAGGATCTTAGTTCCCCAACCAGGGATTGAACCTGGGCCACAGCAGTGAAAGTGCCGAGTCCTAACCACTGGACCGCCCGGGAATTTCCAAACCACTCAATATTTTACTATTTGAGCTTCCAGGATTTAAAAAATTTTTTTTTAATATTTAAAATATATACTTAACTCTCATCTCTTAATTATGGTACTTTTGCTTCTGGACCCTATCTAGAACTGATTATCTCCCAGACTATAGATCCCAGATATTACCTTCTAAGATTGCTCAGTTCTGGAACCATTTTCTCATCTTTGGCCGTCGTATTCTAAGTTTTGTATCTCCTAACCTTATATCCTGTTTTTCCTTATGTCTTTCAGATCCAGGTGAACTTGAGAGAACTAGAAGCAGCTGTCTGGTTCAGTCATGATGAGGTGGCCACAGCCCTGAGGAAAGACAACCCATATTATCAGCAACAGAATGGGGCTTTCCCATTCTGGTTGCCCCCCCTAAGTTAGCCATTACCCACCAACTGATAAAAAGAGTGGGTGGAAAAACCGACCTGTTCTATCCTGCCTGCTTAGCTCGGATCAGGCCACCTAATCAGATAAATCCCTCCTATCTCAGAGGGGAACATCAGAGATCAACTGATGAAGAGGTGGTGACAAAAGGTCATCTCCAGGCCAACATCATAAGAAGGCAGAGCAGATGGCGAGCCTCCAGCAAGGCACATCTGCCAGCAGTGTTAATAAAAGAAGTTCCTAATCATAGGCAATCAAAAATGCCAAAACTGATGAGATGACAATTGTCAAAATCAGAGGGAAAGCTGAAGCATTAGTTCGGATATGGGCCCTTGCTCATTCATTTTCTCCTGTGCTTTGGAAGCAAACATCTTTTGGCATGTGGCTTGTCAATGCTGGGTTTATACTAACTGCCAAAATGTGCCTGGTATAATTTTGGTTGCAACTTTTATCTTAATATTGAAAATATATAGCAGATCTCAACCCTCTACTGAGTTCCTTTTTATCCTTGTACAATTTTAAAAACTAGCACATTTTTTTTTAACAAATTTATTTACTTATTTATTTGTGGCTGTGTTGGGTCTTCGTTGCTGTGCGCGGGCTTTCTCTAGTAGCAGCGAGTGGGGGCTACTCTTTGTTGTGGTGCGCGGGCTTCTCATTGCGGTGGCTTCTCTTGTTGGGGAGCACGGGCTCTAGGCGTGTGGGCTTGGTAGTTGTGGCTCGCTGGTTCCAGAGCGCAGGCTCAGTAGTTGTGACGCACGGGCTTAATTGCTCCGCAGCATGTGGGATCTTCCCGGACCAGGGCTCGAATCCGTGTACCCCGCACTGGCCGGCGGATTCTTAACCACTGTGCCACCAGGGAAGCCCAGCACAACATTTTTGAATTTGTGTAGAGGTAATTATTTTGTACATGGTAGTTAAATAAGTCATATTCCTTTAAGTCCTTCATCCCAGGAAAGTGGGAGTTAAGGTCTTCCTCAAGGTACTCTCTAGTAAATCAGAGGCAGTGACGTTCTGTTGAGGTAACTGCATGCCAGTGGGGCTCAAGAGCATCTTTTTTGCTGTTACTTGCTCAGTTTGTGACCCAGGGAAAAGATTATCACTTGCCATGCCTGTTTTCCTAAACGTAAAATGGTTGCTGCCTTTTGCACACCAAGTGTAACTTCAACGAAGTGATCAGTGAAGATGAACCATTTCTTGAGTTTTATGGGATAAACTAAATTTAGGATTTCTCATCATTCATATATGCCATTCTAAACCTTGTCATAGGGAAGCACTTATCTGGAGGAAATGAAATAAATTTCTGTACCTTTGTTCAGATGTATATTTCTGTCTTATGAAGTGAGAAAATTGTAGAAAGTGAGAATTGGGGGTGGGAGTAATCTATTAGTGTGACAAACATTTAAGTCCAGATTCCAAGTCTGTGGAATGACTAAAGCAATATTCAGAAGAAATCCTGTTAGAGATCTGTTTGAAAAGAGGAATGGCTGGGGAAAGTCTTATCTTCAGGTACTTTTAGGCAACTAACTAGTGATTAAAGACACAAGTGCCAAAGACCCTAAGATTATTCACACATCCAAGTCCCACAGGACTAAGTAAAAGAGATTCTAGAACTAGAAAGATTGAAGTGACTGAATTTCCTTTTGATCCCAAAAGGTTGTTACTCTCACCATTGCCAGCAAAACATCATTGCTTTGGGGAAATCAAACTGCCTTCATCAGGAAATGTTGAGGGATAATACGTGATAGGACTTGATTGTCCTGTTAGATTGGCAGCTTGCCCTGACCTGGGCTGAACCTAGCATGTAGAAGGGAAAAGCACTCTCGAAAGAGACATCCTGAGATTTCTTCATATCTTGCAGTTAGAAGAAAACAGTTCAGGGTCCATGTGTATTACCATCTCCCAATGTTTTCTATCTCTTTGTGGGTGTGTTTGTGAGCACATGTGTACACAGTATTTTCAGACTGGGGAATCTGAAAATACTGATAGAAAGGGGAGTGTGCAGGACTCCTGGTTGTGAGTTTCTCAAACTTACCATGGAGTGTTTACTTTTGGATTAATGTGTTGTGCTGGAAAAGAAAAAATGAGAATGGCTAATAGGAGGAGCTGCAACATTGAACTTTGTTTCCCAGCAGTGAGTGGGAAGAGGGCTTTGCTTCTTAGAACTCCAAGGATAACTGAAAGCAGAGGCCAAAGAGGGCAGGGTTGGGATACTGAAAAATGGCAGATAAATAAAAGAAACTTTGGTGCAGGGCTCACCTGGCTGGAGAATATTTATGTGGCAATGAATCATGAAGGTGCTAAGGATAAAAAGAACCCAATGGGTCCATGAAGAATAGCAAAAACAGGTAAAACGCTAAAATTATTGGACACCTGAGGGAGACAGACTCAAGGTCATTGGTAACTGGAATAAAAAAGCAACTCATTCATTCCTCATGTTTGCCTATCTACCTTCCTTCCTCTACCCAATATTTAATTCTCGATAAACTTAATGTTCTAAACATGGAGTGTACATCTTATCTCAAGGGCTTGATTCTCTCTCTTCTGCTGATTTCAAAACCTTGTGTGCATCCCAGAGTTGAGATCATAAAGACTTGTGCAGAGAGGGCAACATTTGGGGCTCATAGAGGAGAAGTTAATCTGTGAACTTAAAATGAAGAAAACATTTTTACTAAATGTGTAATCAAAACTAGAAATGAGCATAGTCAGACTCAATATTTATTTAAGAAGAAAAAACAGAGGCTAGGTTTGCTGGCTAATCTTTTGTTGGCTTACTTATGGGTCTGTGATCAGCACTGTCAGGCAGCTGCACACCCATGCTTTGTAAAAGGTTGGAAGCAGGTCCTGCCAGTCCAGCTTGGGAACTATAGGATTCCAGTATGTTTGAAACCAGGTTCAGGTCTATATCCACTGGTGTCATAACAGATCCTCCTGCACCAGAATCTTCCTCCTCTGAATTGTTACTGGCAGTCTGGGATAGAGGCTCCTTGTTCATGGAGGGAAAAGAAAATCATGGTACAATATGCTATTAGGTTGGATGGTAGTTACATCAAAAAGCTAAGTAAGCAACAATGTAAAATTGATTTCCATATTAGAAAGGAAATTCCCTTCTTGATAGAAAATAAAAATGAAGTCTAATAATAAACTATGTAATTGAACACACATATTAAAATTTGGTTCCGAAGATTAAAACACACTTCTTCCTAGGATAAGTTTCTGCAGATTAAATGGATTTCTTCCTGATTTTGAAATAGCCCAAGGGAGATAACCAGAATTAAGGAGGTAACTTTATAGCTTGCCTAAGAGTTTTAAAAGAAATAAACAGAAAAATGAACATTAAAAAAAAAGAATCTAAATTTTCTCTACGTGAAAGAAGTGAGATTTCTTCCCTACCCACAACCCCCACCCCAATGAGAAAACAAAATAAAAACCTGAAGCCTGGGCTTCCCTGGTGTCGCAGTGGTTGAGAGTCCGCCTGCCGATGCAGGGGACACGGGTTCGTTCCCTGGTCCGGGAGGATCCCACATGCCGCGGAGCGGCTGGGCCCATAAGCCACGGCCGCTGCGCCTGCACGTCCAGAGCCTGTGCTCCGCAGCGGGAGAGGCCACAGCAGTGAGAGGCCCGCGTACCGCAAAAAAAAAACAAACAAAAAAACAAACAAAAAAAACCCTGAGGCCTTGTGGGATCCAACCACAGAGACTGTGAATTGGTACTTGAGCCTCTGATTTCATAGGATTTCATAGGAAAGAATTTGAGAGATTGCAGCTTGATCTATAGATTTTTATATCTTTGCTACCCAAAGTGTGGTCCATGGACCAGCAGCACATCCATCACTTGGGAACTTGTTAGAAATGTAAAATCTCAGGCCCACCCTAGACATACTTAACCAAAATCTATATTTTAACAAGATCTTCAGGTGGTTCATATTCACATTAAAACCTAATGTATGGTTTCTAGTAGGTTTTGGCAATACTAAAAGTGATTAGTTTTAAATGTGGTTAAGATGATCAAAGCAAGGGGAATGACATTAACTAAGGGCTCATTATGGGTTTTACTGTTGTCTCATTTGGTTCTCACGTTCATTCTATGACATGAAGATTATTGGTTAATGGATACATTCACAGGGGATAGCTGAGCTGGATTTCAAACCCCGCCCATGAGACTCCAGGGTCCATTCTCTTTCTATCTGTGGTTAGACAGTGCTGGTATAAAAACTAGGATAAAAACATGAGTGGCAGATGAATTCTAAATTTGGCTCTAAATAAGGGAAACATATAAAACAAACACTATCAAGACTTGAAAATTACTTGGATATTTAATATCCTTTCTCTTTTTTTGAAATCAATTTAAGCTATTAGTAGGAGTATGCAACCACATACTAATTTGAACATATCACATGACTTTAAAAAAAATCCTGATAGATAACATAGAATAAGTAACATAGTCAAGCTTATGTTTAAGAAAATCAATAATCCGTCAGCCTACCAGTGTTAGGAAAAAATTAGCATTCTTATTTATTCAAATTAAAAAATTCATCACAAAATTATCATGAATCAAACAGTAAAAAAGAAAAGAAAAACTAAGATAAAATATGGTTTTAGCTATCCTTTGTTCTAGACTCAAAAGGGAAAGAGGTTGAACACACACATACCATTTGCTTCTGGGTGGTGAAACTTTTGCCAATGCTGGTACGTGCGAGTTCCTGGTCCATCTGGGCCATGTATGACTTGAGATCACCAAGAGTTCCTTTTACAGATGCTTCTTCCCCAGGCTCCTGTGTTTCAAGATCCAAGTCATCATCACTATCTAAGCATTCAGAGTCTTCCTCATCCAGTTCATCAGAGTCTGAGTCATGGGGCCTTGAACCTACATAGACCCCAACACAGAAAGAGCCACTCATTAAATTTTTTTGGAGTGATTACACATCTCAAAAGAATTAGAATGTTATCTCCAAAAAAGAGCAAATATTAGGCAAACTACTTCAGAAAAATCCCCTCCAGAAAATGGTACTGCTGGCAAACACTTGCAGAAAAGTACACAGGCTGAGCTGAAAGATTCAGCTT